AAAGTCATACAGGTTTGGAACAACATGACGGGTGAGAAAATAATGACAGAAGTTTCATTTTTGGGTGAACTATCCCTTTAAGTCCATTTCGACTAATGTTGAAATTCCCAGAACCTCACATTGGATAATTTCCATACAATGTACCTTTTTTTTCATGACGTAGGAAAAAACACAAACACTTTGTTATTAATGACAGTCCTCTGACCTTCGTTTAATAGCAATTCTTGGTTTCCACCTGCTGTGGGAACTGTGGGAGGACTGGGCCACCCAGTCTGAAGAGAGTTTAACACAGACGAACTCCTGCGGCACAGAAAAACATGACTTCATCTTGAATGTCTAGAAGCCCATTTTGGGCTGAAACAGCATCTGTGTTTTGGACCGCATTCGTCCATGCATGCTTGGGAATTCAATTCTTAACTCAAACAGACAGTTTACGTAAGACATTATATGTCAGCGTGGCTTTGGCAGGCTTTTAATCCTAGAGGCACATTGACTGACAAATGCAATTATATACACGCACACACACATTACATGCATTGTTGTGGTTGCAACAACCCCATCTATTCCTCTTCCACAAGCTCCGATCAGACTGCATGAATTAATATGGAGCTTCTGGGTTAGTTGCATCATGAGCAGAGCTATATATATATATATTTTTTTTAATGGTGGTTGGTCACTTTAAATGGCCAGAATAAGTGTAATACTCTTTATTCTGATTGGTAAAAGTCAGGCTATGCGATAGTACTTTGCTAAATAAAAAGGTTAACAAACTTTTTTCATAGCAAGAATTTGTCCTTACTGATACATGTTTGCGGTTTGTATAAGAAGCCAGTCAAATCTTCCTCTCACCATTTTAACCCAAACAAAAGCAACACACCATCACCCTATAACACTTCACTCTGAGAAAGGCCACAGAGCAAAGCATAATTCAAGCAACTAACAGGAACATGGCCACCAGGCAACCAGTTCAGCACAACATCCAAACATCCTTAACCCCAACCCACTAACATGCCCTGAGTTTGTTGCCCCACTAACGCTGCATTGTTCAGCTCATCAAGTAGCTAAAGGCTAATTAGACAGCTAACGAGTGGAGGGTAGTAATGCTGAGCAAGGAGGGAGGGTGATAGAATCAGGGTTTTCTGCCACACTGCATTGTCTTGGAGGCAGTAAAACCATGAAGAGACTGACAAGTCACTGATGCAGCAAAGGAGAAAAAATATATTAAGTACTTTTTAAAGTATGATTACAGTACATGTGTGTTTGCCATGTCTGTATTTAAAACATCAGAGGCATACATTCTATTCATATCTAGATATTACATATGTATCTTATAGAAAGCCTATGCATTATAAAATATTACTAGATTTATTTTTATATACAATTAAACATAAATTTTTTAAACTTTATCTAACAATTAAAACAATAAATCTGCAATAATTTGTAAAAAAAAATAAAATAAATTATAATATATCAAACGAATAATTTTGCTGTGTTCCATATTTAGCTTGTTACTGCATAATTTTCTAAAGCATTAAAAGTAAAAAAAAAAAAAAAAAAAGTTCAGTTTTCTCAGATTTTACCATTATTGTACTAAATTCATTAAGCTGAAGTTCAAACAAATACATAAAACTAGAAATAAATATATATATATATATATATATAACACACACACACACACACACACAGGTATTTTTCTATTTAATTCTAATTTTACATATTTTGTCTATTTAATTTGATGCTTATTTAATGTTCATTGTTTAATGTAAGCAATGTAATATATAATATGCAAACCTAATGTAAAATGAATAAAAGACTAAAACAGCTCATATAATATTTAGATTCACAATCAAATTTCTTTTGAGGTTAAGTGATTTTGCTGAAAAATTAAAATAAAAATCATGCCCTTATTGCCCTATTGTGTACCTTATTCTTTGAAAGTGATTTTATTATATTGTACTTTTAATCTAAGGTAATGTATTTGTCCCATTGGTCTACCTTTTTAAATTGTAGGCAATGGGTGACATTATTTCAGGTCATGGCCAGACAGCGTCTCTGCCTTGTTCACCTAGCCAAGGATAACCAAACATACAGAGCCTTCACACAGCCCTGAGTAAACACAATAGCCGACGCTCCTCATCTGCCCAGCCTGCCAAAGTCATTCTCTGGGTGTGGATTTGTGTGTGCTCACCTCATCCTTCCCCCATCAATAGCCCAGCAATCCCACGAGCCAATACTCCGTGTCTACACAGAGGAACAAAGGCCACTGCCAGCTGAGCTGATATAGATCCACAGGTCTCTGTTCTTGTTCAATCAGGTCATGAAACAAATCAGCAGTAAGGGCACTTTGAGCTAAAAGTTCAATCTCCCATATCATCTGCTCAGGACGCAGCTATCGAATGCCCGTTTAGCATCCGCTAATGAGGCTAAATTCTCCTCCTTTTGGACAAGGTCTTGCCCGAATTCCTACAAAGCATAAGAATTTCAAATAAATTTCAGATGAAGAGTAATTAACACAAAACATGTTTAAACAAGAAAAGTTCACCACAGATATGCTCTGGAGAATGTGATGGCCTTTTGATTGCGCTAACTCGTGGGAACTGTTGAGTCATAATGAGACTGAACCTTTTAATGCCACAGTGCTTGTGTGGTCCCATGGGCTAATTAGGCCAATTAGCATACTAATTGCCACATGCAAATCAGGAGCATCTCAAGCAACAGAAGCGGAAGAACACTGAAGCTTATGGACAGCAGCCATCTTTCAGGCTAATTCCCTGTCCACTCTGTGACACAGACCCTCGTTAGTACCGCAGTAAAAAAACATGAGAGGCACATAAAACATTATATACTGCTTGACTGTTGTTTTCTTACCAATTAGCAAAGGACTGATTTATGGTTATGACACAAATTCCCAATAGATTTTAAACTACATTTCCCCAGGCTCTTTCACGCTCCCATGCAAATTACACACATATCCCAAGATGCAGAGGGTCAACCATGAAATTCTGTAAACCACTGAATCAAGTGTTTAATGTTATGAAGACTTTGAAATCATAGTCAAAGTTTCAGAATGCTGAATTCTGAGAGGCATGCACTGATATAAAAACAAAAATGTAAATAAAAAAAGTTTAAAATGTTACCAGTGAATTTAAGTCATCACATTATCATAAAAAAGGATATTCATTTTGAGCTTTGCTAAAAAATATATTTTACAGTGTTATAAAATTAGTGTTTTTGAGACTAATTTTAAGTGAGCATTTGATGATGGAAAAGGTAATGTTAGGGGAAATTAGCATGCACAATTAAATATCCCCCCAAAAAATAAAAAATAAAAATCTATACAGTAGGAAATTATGCTTTAAAATATAGGTCATGTGGTAAACAGCAAAATATTAATATAATAAATAATATCATCCTTTAGGTATTTATGTGTTTTAGAAAAAATGCATATAAACAAAACAAATTATAACATTGTTTCATGATTTTAATAGATAAAACTGGGAAGAATGGACAGGCCAAAAACCTTGATGTGTTTAAAATGAGCCACTTTTTATTCTAGGTTACATTTGTTACTGAAATATAGATACTGAAAAATATATATCAGCAAATGGCCAGTGTTGTACCAATAAATCGTCCCTACCTTTTTTGGGGTTCAATTAAAGTAATTGGAAAAATATGAGCCACATGAACTATAAACTGCATTTTTCTATTATATGAGAAAAGCTTACAAACCATCGGTGCTGTTCATTAAAACAGCATTACTTTACTCTGTTTTTCATTTAAAGTTCAGAAGTAAGTGAAACCAATTTACTCCATTACATGCACAAAAAAGTGGCACGTGTCATCTTTTCTCAATATTGTGTAGAAAAACCTCTAAAACGCACGGTTTGTGGTGTGCCAGCTGTGTGTTTAGTGTGACTTGTATAAAAAGGCTAAATAGCCATTTGGATATTATTACAAACATCAGCCAAGTATCAGTCACTAATGACAGCCCCAGATGTTAGAGGCCCAACAGGTGGACTAAGTTTCAAGGGTCATTCACAGAAATAACACTGTGCCGCTCTCTAAAGATCTCTGTACACAGAAACATGTCAGACATTAACAAATCTAAAATCCGACTGCATGTTTCGACTGCTGCTTTAATGCAAGGCTGCACACATGCTCTTAAACTGAATGCAGGACACATTTGCAGAGATGCAGGATGAGACAGAGAAGGAGAGACACTATGCAAGACTAAGACAGGTAGACAGAGCAGCAGATGTCAAGCCGTCATCTGCCTGTTGTCTTTCCCTCAGTCGGCCCTCTGTAATGACTATTTAAACCCACATTCTCCCCTCTGCATTTGCTTGACTGATTTGTGGCCTCATGGGACTCGAGATGTGCTGTTTTGTACTGAACCAGCAATCGACAGTCTTTGCTGCCCTCCCTCTCCACCTTGGCCTGCCCCACATGCTTCCAGTCTTCTTCCTGCCGCTCTTTGATGTGAGATCAGAGAGGACTGCTTTGGCACACACAATACTGGTCAATCAGGTGCAGTGTCAATGTACTTTAGAGCTGTCTATTGCCTTAATAAGTCCAAAATACTCTTTAACAGCATTTAATTAAGATTTTCTCTGGGCTGTTGTTTTAGCACTGTGATGTAGTCATGTCATTGCATTCAAAAACAGATTTTTTGAAGACATTTTGACTTCCAAAGCCACTTTTTGTAATGTCTGTTTAATGCTTTTGTCCACTACAATTATATGTTGCATCTTTGAATTACTTCATTTGGGGTTTTTTGAGCAAATAATGACATAGGTAATTATAAAATTTGATTAATTAATATGTGTAATAATTCATTAAAATGCAATCCAAATAAAAATGCAAAAAGAATATGTAATTGATCTGCAAAGGATTACTTAAAAAAAGCAGAAAAGCGCAGAAATGTGTTGTTAATGGGGTGCGAGAAACTGTTATCGTAGCTCTGACTGAGCCTCCGGGGTTAAAGCCCCTATTTTATTTGTCTCACGTTCCCTTAGGTATTTATGTGTTTTAGAAAAAATGCATATAAACAAAACAAATTATAACATTGTTTCATGATTTTAATAGATAAAACTGGGAAGAATGGACAGGCCAAAAACCTTGATGTGTTTAAAATGAGCCACTTTTTATTCTAGGTTACATTTGTTACTGAAATATAGATACTGAAAAATATATATCAGCAAATGGCCAGTGTTGTACCAATAAATCGTCCCTACCTTTTTTGGGGTTCAATTAAAGTAATTGGAAAAATATGAGCCACATGAACTATAAACTGCATTTTTCTATTATATGAGAAAAGCTTACAAACCATCGGTGCTGTTCATTAAAACAGCATTACTTTACTCTGTTTTTCATTTAAAGTTCAGAAGTAAGTGAAACCAATTTACTCCATTACATGCACAAAAAAGTGGCACGTGTCATCTTTTCTCAATATTGTGTAGAAAAACCTCTAAAACGCACGGTTTGTGGTGTGCCAGCTGTGTGTTTAGTGTGACTTGTATAAAAAGGCTAAATAGCCATTTGGATATTATTACAAACATCAGCCAAGTATCAGTCACTAATGACAGCCCCAGATGTTAGAGGCCCAACAGGTGGACTAAGTTTCAAGGGTCATTCACAGAAATAACAAATCGGTGCTCTCTAAAGATCTCTGTACACAGAAACATGTCAGACATTAACAAATCTAAAATCCGACTGCATGTTTCGACTGCTGCTTTAATGCAAGGCTGCACACATGCTCTTAAACTGAATGCAGGACACATTTGCAGAGATGCAGGATGAGACAGAGAAGGAGAGACACTATGCAAGACTAAGACAGGTAGACAGAGCAGCAGATGTCAAGCCGTCATCTGCCTGTTGTCTTTCCCTCAGTCGGCCCTCTGTAATGACTATTTAAACCCACATTCTCCCCTCTGCATTTGCTTGACTGATTTGTGGCCTCATGGGACTCGAGATGTGCTGTTTTGTACTGAACCAGCAATCGACAGTCTTTGCTGCCCTCCCTCTCCACCTTGGCCTGCCCCACATGCTTCCAGTCTTCTTCCTGCCGCTCTTTGATGTGAGATCAGAGAGGACTGCTTTGGCACACACAATACTGGTCAATCAGGTGCGGTGTCAATGTACTTTAGAGCTGTCTATTGCCTTAATAAGTCCAAAATACTCTTTAACAGCATTTAATTAAGATTTTCTCTGGGCTGTTGTTTTAGCACTGTGATGTAGTCATGTCATTGCATTCAAAAACTGATTTTTTTGAAGACATTTTGACTTCCAAAGCCACTTTTTGTAATGTCTGTTTAATGCTTTTGTCCACTACAATTATATGTTGCATCTTTGAATTACTTCATTTGGGGTTTTTTGAGCAAATAATGACATAGGTAATTATAAAATTTGATTAATTAATATGTGTAATAATTCATTAAAATGCAATCCAAATAAAAATGCAAAAAGAATATGTAATTGATCTGCAAAGGATTACTTAAAAAAAGCAGAAAAGCGCAGAAATGTGTTGTTAATGGGGTGCGAGAAACTGTTATCGTAGCTCTGACTGAGCCTCCGGGGTTAAAGCCCCTATTTTATTTGTCTCACGTTCCCAATAACACATAAAAGCCCTGGGTGGAGTAGTGCTGCTTTAACGAGAGCCCCCTGAGTCTGTGAAGCCCTCAGACGACAAGCATGCTGATCTTGCCAGTAATGGGCCTACAAGCCCCTTGTTAGGCATGTTAATGCATCTAATCTGCAGTCAACAGCAAAAACAAAAAGGGTTTTTTTATGCTAAAGGTTTAAAAGGGTAAGACTATGATCTCCAAATGATTTGTGGTAAGGTGTTTGTCCAAGATGCTACTGAAGAACATTATTAGGATGCCAAGTTTCATAGAATTCCTAGGGTTAGGGTTAGGGTCCGTTTGAATATACAAAACATTGTAATTAAAACCTATTTATAAACTCTGAAACTGAACCGGATGTAATAATCATAGTGTTAAATATTGTAATTATCAAATAAAATAAACATGACAAAAAAAGAGATACAGTAACTAAACAAAGACTAAGAAATAACTTAGCTGGGCTGACTGGAGTTTGCTTGAAGACAGTATGGGTGGTACACAGACCTCCCTTCTAATTCACATTCCTTCCATCCGGAGAAGATGAATTAGGACGAAAACAAGAGAAGAACATCAAGCCCCCGACCAGGATGAAAGCTCTCCCACTTAAGAGAATATTAGGAGAGTAAACTACTTTAGCAGCAGGAGACAAAATATCAAATTAGCCTCATTGAACATCAAACAGAATAAGTGAAAGTAAATGACTACTTTTTTTTTTACAAGATGTTTTCACCTGCAAAAATATATAAATTCATAATACACTGAAAAAAACGATACAAATTTTTTTTAAGGTAAGTGGTTGCAAACTATTTATTTAAATATTAAAAGTTAGTCAACTAAATTTGTTTATTTCAATGTAGCTAAAATAAATTGATTGCAACCACTTACCTTAAAAATGTTTAGTAAATTCAATGAATCATTTTTTTCAGTGATACGCTATTATATTATATTATATTATTACAGGACTTTTTCTG